ATTCTCTAGTATACATGTGTTTTTGACGACAAGGCTGTGGTTAGCCAGATTTCCCATGAGGATGGCAAAAGACAAGAAGGTCTTTGGGCTATTGTCATGTCACTAGGAAAATGAGTCTGATTAGGCTTTTAAGTGCCAAGTGGAGCGTTTCTGCTGTCTGCACCTGCACAGCCTGGAGTTTTTGATGAAGAACCTTTCATTATCGTCTTCCTGGAATGACTGGCTACACAATGCAAGGAACTAACCCCACAGAGACAATAAAAAGAAAAGACTCCTCTTTGCGGAACATCTAATCATACAAGTGTTGGATGGCCCCTGGTTGACCTTTGTGCTGGATTTCCCAAACATCTGTTCTTACCTAACATCTGTCTGATGGCACTCTTCTAAAATTGATTGTTTTTCACTGTGCATCTGCTTCAGCTCACAGGCGTGTACAACTTGGCATAGGACATTGTGCTCAAATGTCCACAGTGCAAGCCTATAAGTCTACATCAAGGGACACCATTATCCTCATAAAATTTGAGGGCTCAAGCACTGACTTTCTTTGCAACTTTACTGATTTTGAAATCTTACATTTCAATGGAATCAAACAGTCTCTGTGAAAAGAAAAACAGTTGTCAAACACAACCACATGACGATGTGTGTCCATCCTGATCTCCTTAGAAACAGTCTACATGGCTGACCCAGAGCACAAACTCACAGAGTAGCCATTCAGTTTAATCATGTTCTAGGACAGAGACTAGTCCATTTTCTTAAACATGGAACATTTTAGCATAGAATTGCTCTTTTAGGCAAATTAGTCTAGCATATTTATAGTTTCAGCTGTTACAGGTTTAGTTGGAAATGTAACAATGTATAAAGGTTGTCAAGCAAGTGGGTTATCACACTCCCTCCATGCAAATGTTTTCAACAACTTCCTTACTCCAAGTCACTAAAGGCCATGTAGCTTGTATGCACTTGGGAACCTAATTATATTAAAAGGAATAGGTCAGATAACCAAAGACAGTGTAGGTTCAATAGAGCAAAATATGTCCTAAGAAATATGAAACCCATAACTGTGCCATATAAAACCTTTTAGAATCCTGTGGCCATAAAATTTTTTAAGCCTGCATCCAGGATTTGTATACTCATGTTGGCAGGATGGCTTTTGAAAAGTACTTTGGGATAAAGCCTACCTGGCATCTTCAGATATTTCTGGGGTCTAAACAGATTAGTGGTGTTTGCAGCCCTGTGAACTTAGAATTATCGTAAAATCATCCAGCTGCTACTGATCAACTAGATATGTCTAACTATAACCAATGATCTGTTTAATTATTTTTTCACAAACCCTGCCTTCTCTATGGAATAGTCTGGGACTTTCTCATGATCCTGAACAATGCTAGGCAAGCGCCCTACAAGACCAACTACTCTGCTCCTTTGTTTGTTTGATTGTTTGTTTGTTTTTGACATGGTGTTCCAGGCAACAGCCAATGATTTTTCAGGGGTTTAAGCAACTGTCATTCTTCTAAAACATCTCCCAAACCTCATCTCCATGGAATAGACCTAAAGCAAGTCTTTCAGATGCTATGAAGCCTGTCTCACAGAGGCATGCACCACTATGTTTTCTTGAATATTCTGTCAAAGCCATTGGTTATACTGCTGGGCTTTGAGGAGCTAACCTTGGCTCTTGGCCTGGTTCACAAATGTGTAGACCCTATTTATAGCTCCTTTTCCCACAATTTGATTCTAACTCAACACTTACCACTAATGAGCTCAGTCACTGCTCCATATAAAAACCACCATATAAAAGAAATCCCTTCTTTGCACTGCTTTGGAGCTTGTGTCCAGCTATATAAGGGATTTTTATTACTGTTTCATTAATTTGATATTGATGGAAAAATGAATAACTAAATGAATAGTGTTCCCCACAATGTCCATGCAAAAGATGTACAATAGCATTTAAGTGTAATGTGCATTTTCATGTTCCTAAGAAAAACTAATGAAGACTTTAGCTCAATTTTATAACTGTAGACAAGACATGATGTCCATGAGAAACCCTCTCCACATTTACAGCCCAACAGCCCTCAGTTCTGTGTCTCCCCACCACGCAATATGTGTACACTTGGACATTTTTCTATGTACATTTCTATTAATTATTGATTCATTCCTTGTCTACAATTCAATATGACATGGTATGGGTATTTGCAGTCATTGTCCATCAGAGCTGCCTACATGCTCCCAGATAGGTACTGTCTCTTTAACTTTGGCTGTAAAGCACCCAGTGCCCAGCCATCTGCACACTGGACTGTATAAAAAGCCTTTTAATGACAAATTAGGTTTTTATTTCGGTTCATTACACCTGGGTTTTCAGGCAATGTTTGGGATTTCATGCATTTGTTTGTAATGAGTCATGGACCCCTTGACAAACAGGAGACTAATTTCACTAACCAGGTTATCAGTAGAAGGTTCTGACAGAGGGCCTGTTATATATGATTATTTGTCTTCAATAATAGCTGGAAACCAAAAAAGATTATAGCTTGTCACCATGACAAAGAAAGGCTCAGAAAACATTAGGGAAAATGTGTCTTACCTGCACCTCTCTCAAGCAAGCAAGCACATAGCAACTGGTTGGTGCAGGTGATGGGGCGGGCTGTGTTGTAGATGTCTCATGTATCTTTGACTGCATTCTCCAAGGTGGTGTGAATCACTGCTTGAAAAAAATAATTATTGAATTGCTCCTCATATTGTATTTCTGTCTATAATGAACATTAATATATCTATTGCATGCATACATATATTATTTCATATTATTTTCTCATTCAAACATTTCTGATAAACATTCTTTCATTATTTTCATGAAGTTACTAAAACAATTAAAATTACTACCTTGCATTTTTCCTTAGATTATAATATAAACTTTACCATTGAGAATAAAATTATTGCAGCTAATAGAGGTGTTATTATTTCAAAATGAAGTACCAGGAATACAAAATGAAGAATCTAGTTAGGTATTTTAAAAGGAGAGACAATATCCTCTTCTAAGAATGCTTACTGTTTTCATATTCACAAGCTATTGGAAGCAAACATTAAAGCTTCCGTTTTGATGGATTTCTATAGAAACTTCAAATGTACTCCCAATACATACTTACTTGGGTCATATTTAAATTGCTTGTATTTAAATCTTCAAGTTCCTAGTTGTAGCGAATACTATGTGTGGTGCCATTTAGAGTCTGTTATATTCAGACCTTGTTAAAATGCAGACACGTATGAAAAGATGTTTTCATCCAACTCTTAGATTCCCACCACACCAGGCAGGTATCCTGGCAAACCTTCCAGTGGTCTAAGCCAATTGCCCTTGCATCTTGCTGGAGTCACATCTTACTTTCTCCTGTCAAAAAGTTCTGGTGTCTCCAATGCCTCAATGGATCCTACGCCCAGCCACTTTCGCACCAAACTCACTGCCCCACCTCTGTGTGTCAGTTCAGTGAGCCTTGCTCATAGTAGTTCCAAAGCCTGCCTCCTCTACCCTTCTTGAATCATACAGGCCTTTACTGAGCACAGCAATCCATAAGCCTTGTAAAGCACAAGCTGGGTGACATCCTGCGTTACATTATATTACATTATATTTAACTACCCTGGAATCCTTAAGGTCTTTCCTGGTCTTCATCCTGAACCCATCTTGGCCCTATCCATCTTTGCTTTACCAAGATTGGAATTTCTGTGGCAACATGGACTCATAGCTTAGCTATTCTCTCTACCTGGGAGGCTTTTCTTCATGTAGCCACAGAACTAGCACACATACACGCATCTTTGTTTTTCGAGTTTCTTCCTTCTCCGGGAGGACTTAAAGTTTCTACATTTATGCACACCAGAAAGAACACCTGAGATGTCTGAGCGAAGCTGCATTCCATTCCTAGTTCTCTCTGGTGGTGTTGCTTTGTGGATCAAACCCAGAGCCCAGTAAATGCTGCCATGTGCTCTACCACACAACACATCAATACGTTTGTCACTTTCTAACAATTTACGATTAATTTATACCACGTAGCCAGGACACTTTCTGTTTGTAGTCTCTCCTCTCCTCACCTACCCCATTTAGGACTCATGCTCAATTGTGTTACGAATTTGACTTTATTGTGCTTTGAGAACTGACTGGCACAGGTTGGAGGCTCAATAACCATTTGTTGAATAAAGTCAGTGGTTTGATCAATTCTACTAAACCAATTAGGGAAGAAATATCTGCTCTAGCTAGAACCACAGTGAGGAGATGAGGAAACAGGAGAACATAGCATCCAGAACAGGCTTTGGATCTTTGGAAAGGAAGAGCATCTGGGATGGAAGAGCAGGTCACAAAGTCACCCATCAAAAAAGACAAGGAAGGGATCCCAGACTTCAGTCACCATGGCCGACTTCAAATCTTGCACCCAAGTAGCCGTTTAACCCTCATACATTATTTATTGTCTCCGAACTTAGGTTTTTGTATCGGTAAAAAGGGAATAATGCTATCCAGGCTCAGAGCACCATGTGAAGAAAACAAGAACCTGAAGCAGACAGCCAGTGCCAGCTGCCTGTGATTGCTCAATAAAGGACGGTTAGATGGAGTGTAGTTTGACCAGGATACAGATGAGGTGTTCACCTCACTGTGCTATTTTTCCAATAGAAACGGAGCCAAAATGTATTGCATTTACTCTGTACTCCCTGAGAACATTCATCTATTGTCCAACTTGAAAAATGGAGCTGAAAATGACTGGTCTAGCATTTGAAGCATAAAACACAGGGGCTGGTATGCACTGGACTGCCTGGCAGGCTATTGTTTTGAATACAGAAGGAAAAGAATCGTGTGTGTGTGTGCGTGTGTGTGTGTGTGTGTGTGTGTGTGTGTGTGTGTGTGTGTGTGTGATGTGTGTGTGTATGTGATGTGTGTGTGTGTGTGTGTGCGCGCGCGCGTGCGCGCGCGCATGCAAGCCATCCCTGCTGGGGATCACTTCCCTTTATCCACCATGGTGTTTTTGTTTTGTTTGCAGTTGCGCCCACAATTCAGGAAATTAAATCTGGCACTGTGACTCCTGGACGCAGTGGACTGATACGATGTGAGGGTGCAGGTGTGCCACCGCCGGCCTTCGAGTGGTACAAAGGGGAGAAGAGGTAAGGGCTTTTGTGAGCTTCGCCATGCTCTGAGCACTTTGAGCTAATGTGTTTGTGTTTCAATACTAACTTTTAAGCAATTTCTGTAACTGGCTTGAATGGTTCTCAGCAGCCTCCTTATGGGCAAGCAGAATGGAGAAGCCCACATGGGAGGCATGAGGAGCTAACAGCTTTCCAGTAGAAATGTCCACATTGGTTTCTGTAATCTCAGAAATGCCTGCAAATCTCCCATTGCTGATACCTTTTGCTTCTCTGCCTCTCTCTTCCTAGCAACCATGTTTACTTGGAAGGTAACCTGCCTCTAAAGGGCTTGGGCATGGATTATACAAGAACACTTCAATAGCAATAGGAGCTATAGTCTGTACTCTGCATCCTTAATAAGCCAGAACCCTTTCACCAGCCTTACTCCACCATAAGAAAGCTTAATGTTTTGTTTTACAGGCTTGTGTGTTAGATATTCCCTCATTGTTAGGCCTGTGGAGATGTTGTGCACAAAAACAGGCCTGAACAAGGGGGATTTCAAGCTATTATTTGACTCTACTTGGTATGGCTGTACCCTAGGGATGTCCCAGAAGTCTTGGAAAGAGCTACTGAGCACAGGAATATTTGAGCCCACAGATTTCACTTTATTTCCCAGGAGTAAGTTCAAACCTCTCCAGTTGCTCTTGCTAAGCCAGACATGAAGATAACTGTGGGTTCACTGAAGACCACAATAAGAGAGGGAATGTGATTTTGCTTCAAATCTGAAAGTATAAAAAATGCTAGTGGACCTTTGTGAAACTGCTATTTTTGAGTCTAAATATTAAACTAAATACTGTCAGCCATGTCATTGAGGTGGGGGTTAACATACTACAATCATAATCATAACTACTTTCAGCTGACATCTATAAAGAAAGCTAATGAAACCACATGAAAATTTGCATATTGTCACAATGAATGAGCATAAGCATGGTGCAAACAAGTGTCTAGGTTTTACTGTATTTGCATGTGAATAGAGTGTGCATGTTTGTGTACATGTGTGTATGCATGTGTGTTTGTATGTATGTATATATGTGTGTGCACATGTGTGTTTGTGTGTACAAATGTTTGCATGTTTGTGTGCATGTATGCATATGTATGTGCATTTGTGTGTGTGTGTGTAGATATGCTCACCCATGTGTGTACATCTGTAGGACAAAAATCCATACCCAGGATTATCCTCTCTACATTTTAAATTCTTAGTCAATATCTGTAGACTCTTCACTCTGATTGCTTAGACAAGGCCTCTCACTGAACCACCATTTAGTATTTGGCTCATCTGGTCTACTCCAGTATTTCTCCTATCTCTGTCTTCTAAGATTTGAGGTTATAGACATTTCCAACCATTACCGGCCTTTCCTGGGTGTGTAAGCATGAGTGCTCGTGATGAGTAGAACTTTACCCTTTAGATATCTCCTAACCCTTCTGCCTCTGAAATCAGAATCGGACGTTAATATGCAGAAAAAACTTTCATTTCAATAAAAAATTTATCTTAATAATAAATACTATCCTCAACACTCTTTATACTAAATAACTGTAGTTGTACCTATACCTATAAGTTGGCACTATTTTATATGCAGCTTCCTGTAATTGGGGAAGTTTCAGTTTGTCAATCATTTCATTAACTAACTTATGCTATCCAAAATTCTAAATCTTCCTCTTAGTAGCTTTAGGGACTCCATGTTTTAAACATGGTGGAGTGAGATGAACTGCTTTGTGGTTTTCCTCATTCTATTCACTCAGTTTGGGCATCATCATCAACAACAACAACAACAACAACACCTTTCTAAGGTATGGTAAGGCAGGTTGGAAAGCTCATTTTTGATGCTCTGTGTAAATGTTATCCTGTAGAGTGATACTTAACCTTCTGAAAGCCATAAAACTTTCTGCTCAGATACAATCTTATCCATTTGCCCAAGAAATATATATGAATTCACGGGACATCTTGGCAACATCTGTAGTAAATGGATCCTCGATTCTTCCTTCTATTAAGACACTCTGCAAGAGTCCCTGAGTCCCCTGTTCTCTGTAAAAGGAAGTTTAATACTGATTAAGATTGTCTTACCTGCCTTTTAAAGTCAGATTTTGATCTGTGGCATTCATTTCTTAAAAGCTAACAGTAAGAATCATTCCTCTTGTACTCCAAATATGATCCCTTTTGTTGGTACCCACCTCATTTCCAATTGCCTGTAATGCTTCTAAATTCTTGAAGCATTGCCAAAATGGCTATAGTGACCCTGGGGAAGTTTTGCAGCCTGTAGCAAATGTAGCAATGGGATAGTCAATGCAGAAATAAAGCTTCAGTCCTTACTGGGGAAATGGACTGTAGACCACTTGCTGACAAAGAAGGTAAATTGATTCTCCCACCCAAGGCTTCCAAAGCACACACACCTGTGGAATGTCAAAACCAGATGCACATGTGAAAAACAAATGGGCAGAACACACCCATCATTGCTTGAGTTATAATTGAAGAAATATTGAAAATTCCAAATGTTGCTAGAATAATTTCCTCTCAAACTATCATAGCAATTTGTATGTGAAACACAGGAGAGTGAGGATCTGCCTACAGCACTGTCTCCACGTAAGTAATCTGCCATGATGGCCCAGGCTGTGCATTTACCTCGTCACAGTGAAACTCATCTATTGCTGTATAAAGGTGTCACTCTAAGCTGCTGATAGACATTAATTCCTACAAGCAAGTGATAACAGATGATGATATTTCTCCATAGAAAACAAAGTGTGTTCCTAAGCAATCTGCACAAGTCAGAGCAGTTGGTGACAGCTAGGTCTCATAAATCTTCAGGCAGAATCTATGGGCTCAATCCCTTTGCTCTGGCACTCAGTCAATAAAAAAATGGCTTGAAAAGTCAACAATAAACACCAAGAGCAATAGCATTTCAGGTTGATTACTGATTTGCAGAACAAGAGATGGCTCATAGAAATACTCACTAATAACTACCAATGTTTGTAACGAAGGAAACAGAAACAAAATTGGAATTAGGTAGACAAGCAACAGGGACAGATATATCATGTTTCAGAGTTTCTTCTGAACCCCCAGAAACCTATCCAGGAAGAAGCTCTGTCAGAGACCCCATCAGAATAGAGTAGTTCTTGCAAGCCCTTTGTTTTGCAGAGATCTTTCATCTGTGATCCTTCTATCAACATTCAGAAATAACCCACACAAGATTTTACTTGTATTTAAGACAATGTTTACAAATATCCATATCTCTTACACCAAGATTGTCAAAGATAGATTTTCATGCAGATGAACACACAGACACACACCCACATAACACACATACACAAGATATGACACACCAAGCCACAAGATATGACAGCCAAGGCTATGCAGGCATTGACCACATCATAGTGAAACTCATTCATTGCTGTATGAAGGTGTCACTCTAAGCTAATGATAGACTCTAAGTTGTATGAGCAAGTGATAACAAGTGCTGATATTTCTCCATAGAAAACAAACTGTATTCTTGAAAAATATGCAAAAGTTGTGGCAGTTGGTGAAAGAGATGGGTCTCATAAATCTTCAGGGAGAGTTTATGGGGTCAATCCTTTTACACACTCACACATGGACACATAAACATATGCATATACATACATATACACATAAACACACACTCAGACATGTACACACATACACAAGCATGCACACATGCACAAAGACACACATTCACTCACACATACTCAACACACATACAGAGACACACATGTGCTCACACACAGAGAGATACACATAGAGATACATATAGATAGACAAACACACACACACAAATTCACATGGCCAGAGAGTTGGTGCTAGTGGCAGTTCCTGGCAGATGGCCTAAGTTATTTGTCATGTGGATATCTCCACAGGACTGCTTAAGTGACTATGTCATGGCAACAGGCTTTCTCCAGAATCTGATCCAGGAGACAGCAGGACAGAAACTGCTATACCAAACCTTCTTGTGACCTTTGTTATGTCTCACACTGTCATTTCTGCAGTATTCTATTAGCTGCATGGGGCAGCACTACTCTCTGCAAAAGTGGAGAATCAGGCATACAGTATCAAGAGGTGAGATCATCAGATGCCAACTTCCAAGATGGCTCCTATACACTGTGTCTTATTGATGATCTAACTGGGTTTCATACTCAAAATATTGCCATTTTAATTTAGCTCATAACACTATCTTAACAGCCATCACGAGAGTGACTCCATTTATTCACGTTTTGTTAAATCATTAGCCATTGGTATAAGGCAGTCATTTTTAAACAAAAAACTCTCAGCACAAGGACAATCCTAATGAGTTTAATTTTATTTAAAATACATTTTAATACTGGGGAAATTAGGATTTATTTAATTGACATAAAGTACCAGTCATTTAAACTTTCTTTTCTTGATAGTGTTAGCATGTTATATTAGGCCATAATTTTTTACATGACACATGCCATACTTTTCTCCTCCTTTTCAAGATTTCCTGAAATTCAAGCCTGAGGGCCCGAAAGCCATGATTTCTTATTTCTATTGATCAGTTAAACTGCCCAAAGCTTTTAGGCAATAGATACATTTATTAGTTCACTCTGCTTGTATAAAAATGTCAAAATAACTACTATACTCTGTAAACTAATATCTATCAATTAAAAACAAAGTGATAAATCAATAAATCCAATTTAAAGATATAATTATAGTAATTTAGCACAGGGGCTAATTCTAGCTATGCTTTGGTAAAGTCTTTAATTTAAAAAATGTATCTTTCTTAACCCATCACCATAACTTAAGATAGGAATGTAAAAGGCACAAATGAGTCCAGTGAATACAAAAGAAATTCACAATGAAACATTAAAAACTATCAGTTGATAAGTTAAAAAAATAATGTGTTCCTAAATTGTACTATTTGCATTTCACACTGGGAACTATACCTCTGTGTCTTTTTAGCAACACATTCCAGACTTAGTGTCTGCAGATTTGGGTATTATGTACAACATCCACT